ACCGCCTGTCACGTGCCCTCCGCCCGTCGTCTTCTATCCTCGCCTTCTACACTTCCCCTCCCCTCCCCCCCCCCCCCCCCCCCCGAAGGCCCGGACTTCGGAGGACTTCCAGTACTTGGGACTTCATATGGGCCTCAGGGAGGAGTTCTTTTCACGTCGATGGGCTCGGGAGACAGGTGAAAGCTTTGGTCGGGGCTGTGTGAGGTGTTGGAGAGGCGGCTGCTGTTGGGTCTTGACGGAGTGGCCACGTTGCAGCGTCCGAACGAGGCGTAGGTAGTGGTGGGACCCTTTTTGTCGGTCTTTCTTTGTGCCGGCCTCAGCTGGCTCTTCTAGCCAAGCCCGCTGACAATGTCGACCTGTCCGTCGCTCGCTGTTCCAGTCACCATGATGCGGCAGGGGGCCTGCTCTAAGCTGGTCCCCCTGACGCGGACGGACCTGCCCCGTTCCGCTTGGAGGTTGCCGCGGGCCTAGAACTGCCCGCTTGAACCGTTCGTCAGACCGAACAAGTGTCAGCCACCCTGAGCACTTGAGAAAACGGATGGGCCCGTGTTTTCTCCCATAGGACTTCCTGGGTGACGCCGTCTATGGCCATCTTTCCAAGAAGCCATTCTGCGCGGAACAAAGTGTTAAAACAACACACAACGAACAAATACTCTACCGCAGATTGTGGTAGTGGCCATAGCCTCTACCGCCAAATTGTTTGCTGACGGGTTCATGTACCGTGCGGCTAACTCGGCGAGTCCGCATTCCGGAGCTCGCTTCTGGGTCGCCAGGATCAGGGGATTTCCTGTGTCCTATCGCAACCTCATGTTAATCATATTCCCCATCGCGACGGTAGTATATCCCTTCAAGTCAGAAGTGTGAACCGGGCCAGACTCCTCGTTTGTATCTGGTAAGGGTGGTAAGGATACCCGACCGACGACGAGGAGGACTACATCCTTCGGGGTTTTGCCAGTGTCCAGGACCCCCCCCCCCCCCCTCCCAACCGTTACCGTGCCAGGGTCGCCGACGAGGACACGGAGGACCCCACTGACAGCAAGTGGGATGCCAGCCCTGACCGTAATCACCTTCCCCGCTACGTGCGACCCCAACGTGTCCCGACATGCTCCAGAGGCCAGCGCCTCTTTACGACCACAGACCCACCCACCCGCCGAGACTTCAGCAACGCCCTCATCTTCGTTGACCGAGCCAGCCGGCACTCCCGATTCTTCGGGACAAGAGACATTGTGGAGATCCAGCTCCTTGAGCACTTCCTCGCCGTGTGAAAGTGTCCCCCCCCCCCCCTCCCCCCCTCCGCCCTGCCGCCAAGTTGCGGATCGGTCGGGTTTCAGGTAAGGATGGTGTAAACCTAGCCCATCTGTTGCGCAAGCGAAGAGATGGAAAGCCCGCGGCGGGATGACCATACCATACCCGCGTTCCGCAGCGGCAGCGTGTACCAAGCGTCGGCGTCCCGTTCTGTCGACGTGCATACCGGCTCTAGGGACTCATCGGTCCTCGGAGGGGGCGGCAGCTCAGCGAGCAAGCCCGCTTGAACCGTTCGCACCTCAAGGCAAGCTGGACAGCTGCAAGCTCACCTAGATGTCTCCCGCCTCATCCCCGGCGAGGTCGTGACGCGACAAAACTTATTAAAAGTCTTGCTGTCACTGCTGCGACCGGCCAAAGTGCAGTCGAAAAAGCATCTTATAAATCACCTCCGTAGCTCTCTTTAAACCACAACCCTGAAGGGAGAGTCATCTTTCTTCCTTTCGCCGTTCGTTGGGATGACGCGAAGCAACAAGCCGCGTCTTGGCCCAGCAGATACGAATCGTAGTCCCCATTAACTCGCCTGCCAGCGTTCCCGGTGTCAACTGCTATCTCGCAATTTTTTCGACCCCCGCTTACAATCTCGTCCGGCCGTGTTCCCGGTGTCAACTGCTATTCCCGCAATACCCGCTGACAATCTCGTCCGCCAGCGTTCCCGGTGTCAACTTCTATTCCCGCAATCTATCCGACACCCGCTAACAGACTCGTCCGCCAGCGTTCCCGGTGTCAACTGCGGTTACCACAATTTTTTCGACACCCGCTGACAGAAACCCACCTGCACCCTGGGCCTCGACAATCGCTTACTTGCTCACCGCGTAACCGCAAGCCTAAATTTTAAATCTGTCTTCTCGTCTAAAATCCTAGATCCTAAATCATAATAAAAACAACTCAGAAATCTGCAACGAGTCCTGGCTTTTTCCCCTCCTGCCAGTCGTTATTCTGCCTTCTAGCGAACATGCGGTGCCTCTCTCCTGCCTCCAAAGACGACTTACTTACGTCATGCCCGCACTCCTCATAAACTACTCAATTGCATCACGTCCTCCCAACCGCTATTCTGGGGTGCTCAAGAGGGCGGTTCCGCAACCTCCCCAAGCAGCACACATGGTCCCCCGGATATCCGCAGGATGTCTCGACGTTCAAGGGTTGTCCTGTGGATGTGTATAGGACATCTGTGCTGCTGGGTCGTCTTTCGAGTCCTTTCGGTACTCGACACGGGGAGACACCTGCTGAGCTCTGCTGTGAGACAAGTCGCCAAAATTCCAACAGATTTTGTCTCAACGGGCATCGTTAGCGTTAGTAAACAACCCGCTCAACGAATCCGGCACTCCCCGGGGACGAACAGAAACAGAGGCATACCGACCGGGCCCCACGTTTGGATGCGCCATTGGTGGTCGCTCTTTGTGGTGTTCTCGCTCCATTAATAATCACCACTTGATTAGAATGCGCTTCGCTCGTCTCCCAAGGAGTCGCACAACAGAACGAGAAGACAGCGAATGGGTTACAGTACTTCCCGGTCGCCCGTCCTCGAGAGCCGGCAGTCCGGGCCCGCCGACCCTGGTTGTTGCCCGTCGGTCAGAGCTCGCAGTCGGAACCCGCGTCCAGGCCTGCGGATCGTCCTTCCCACGCCAGCGCTGCGTAGGTTACCTGTCCCGGGCTATCATAGCCCAAGTCTCGCTGCGGAACCACTCTGGAATCGTCATGGCCGTTTCCTTCGGACCTGCTCAGAACCTCGCTGGTGGACCGCTCCGGGGATCGCCATAGGCCAGACCAGCCAGAACGGCTCCATCGTTTCTGCCCAGCCCCAGCCTCGCGCAACACGCTCTGTCTCGCGCCAGCTCGTGTCTTCCGGCCGACCGCCTGTCACGTGCCCTCCGCATCGTCGTCTTCCACCCCCGTCTCCCACAAGGCTTGGGTAATTTCGAAATAGTTCAATTGATTTGGCGTAGTGTGCGACGTGGCCTTCATCGCCGTCATCGCACCGTTATGATCGCTAATGGTTCACGCCGCCAAACCGAGCTAACCGGGAAGTGCGCGTCAGTTCGAAGAACATAACTATCGTTGAGAATACAGTGTTCTGGAGGATGTATTGGCAAGAGCGGCGCCTGCTTACAATGGGCCACGTGAAGACGGTCAACGTAGATGGCCGCGAGTGGCGCTGGAGTTCCGAGCCCTAGGAGAATTTGTGGCAGAAGGCAGATTTGCGATGAGCGAAAAAGAAGACGAAGCTGAGGCGGTATGCTTCTCCCGAAAATAGCAACGTAGCACTTTACTTTGTGATGCAGTGGTGGGGAGTCTTCACCGTTCCGTTTCCATCTCGGTCATAAATGCAAGGAAAAAAACGGACACACACACTGCTTCGCGCCGGGATGCAAGTCGGGCTTCCCGGTCAACAAGGGCAGGCGGAGCACCAGCGATCGTAAGACGTCGTTGTTTCGTGTGCCAATGAGGAGTCGCGCAGACTACAGTGGGAAAAAAATCTTACCCGACAAGATAAACACCTCGATGAGACATCAGCGGTGTCCGAGAGACATTTTGAACCGCGCCTTATCTTTCGAGACTATGTGCACATCGTCAATGGCGAAGAGGTTAAAATTCTATGCTGCAATATATTATGACTATTCTGTAGTCTTTTTGCATAGTATGTTGCTGGATACCTGTCATGGGCTTGCTGTGTATGTCGATGAAGTGTATTACACTTTTGAGAGGTCATAAAGCAGTGAGTTGAGAATATTTTTTTTTCCATATTAGGGGTTGTTGAAGTTTTTCTTCATATTGTATTTTAATGCTTCATGTACTCCCAATCAAAGAATTTTTTCTTCATAGACTGCCTTCCACAAAACACAATTTGCTATATGTTCGCCGGTTGCATTGACACCTTGGACGTTCCCAAATGCGTTCGGCCTTGCACCTTACAGAACGCTGGTTCCCGCATCAGCAACATGATGACAAAAAACTGTACACCTGTTAATTGTTCCTCTCACCATTAAGAAAGTGAGAGCTTTATTGAGATTTATTAGTCTATTTTTCCTGGTTATATCGGTATCGCGTGGTTTCTTTCGCAGCTATTAAGCGTGCAGCCCAAGTGATGGCGTTACTGAACGACATGTCAGTACTGGGAAGGGGTGGGGAGTCGATATTAATCAAATGATCTCCATCAAAAACAGGCGAATAATGAAAGTAGAGGATAGCACACACTCCAGAAACATTAGTCCAAAAGAAAACCTACACTTTTTCACATTAGCACTTGTTTTGGGTCGTGAAAAGCTCCAGTCGAACCACAGTAGTACACGCCAAGCAGCGCCGACGATGAGGCTGACAAGCCACGTTCCAGAACAGCAGCGCTACGGTGTCGTCTACGCACAAAATCTTCACGCGGCGGCCGCCGCTCTTGCCAGTACAACTCTCTAGAACACTGTAGTTGAGACTATAGTAGCAGAGTTTTCGTGTTTCTCACTGGAGATCACGTAACGTTGGGCCACTTGATGTCAATATCCTTGCTAAATTTAACGGGCAATGCACAGACCGAGGGAAGGAGAAACCTTTGGGATTTGGGGATCTGTTCAAAACCGTTTCATGCTTTAAAGTTTAAACTTAGGTATGACTACGTCGTTTCCTGTACAGTGATCGTGTATGGAGATATATGGACGCAGGAAGCGAGTCTTTTTTCAGTTCAAACAGGCTCCTTTTGACGCCGGCAGGTCTGTCCCGACGTGGACGGGAACCTCGAGGCGAACCTTCTGTGTGCCGTCAACGTGTCCAGTCAGCCCCTGGGGACCCTCCCGGATTTGGAGAGCAGTCAGTACGCGACAAAGTTCCTGCGCCGCTGGTCATCGAGCGACGGTAGACGCGGAGGTGCTCGAACGCCCTTCTTCATGGCCGTCGGATACCACAAGCCGCACATCCCTTTTAGAATTCCTCAAGAATATTTAGGTGGGCCCTCATCTTTACACGCACGCACACTCAAAGCAACAACAAAAACAGCATCGAAAAAGTATAATGACACAAAGAAGTCTCAAGGCTATATACTAGAAGAACACGCTATTTACAAACAAGTGCGAGTTTCCCACACCAGTTGGGGACACTGCCAGTACACAGAAACGAGATTCGCTTGAAGCGTTTGCTCATGCGCCGTGCCGACAGCAGCGCCACCGCATTGCCGTGACGTCAGAGCTGCTTGTTGATGCGGAACGTAAGTTCGTCCGCTTCTTTTGCTGTGGAGACGTCAGAGAGGCGATGAGTTCTGATCGGCTCTGATTGGAAGGATAGTGGGTAGACCTTCAGGCAGCTTGCTTCGAGGCCTACCGACTATCCTTCAATCAGAGCCAATCAGAGCTCGGCGTTCTGACGTCACCACAACCCCTGCAAAAGAAGCAGACGAACTTGCGCTCCACGTAGATAGTAAAAGCGAGAAGGTACTTTAAAAAAAAGTACTGCTGGAAGCATCCGCATGGCGGCTTACGTGTTGCCAAGTCTCTAAGCGAAATGTACGGCTGTCACTATGTGACTTTCAGCTGAACGTCCCTTTTTCAAACGCGACGACATACGCTTGAACGGGCACAAAGCACATGTAAAGGCCCATTCACACACTTGCGTTTGACTACGACCAACTGGGACAAGACCGGTTTGTAATCCTCTTGAGGAGGCTTCCGACCAGCTCCGCAGCGACGCACCCGGTCGTAAGCCGTTGCTAGAGGCTTAAAAACCGGTCTTCTCTCAGTTGGTCGTGCACTCGCACAAACGGCATAAGTGTAGCTTTCATGGCTTGTAAAACAAATCTGTAAGAAAAAAAGAAACAAAATATATATATTTTTGGGGGGGAAACTTTTGCTGACGTATTTTCAATTTTAAAAATGTATGATACATTTTCACACTTTACGCTATATTTCAAGCAAATATTCTTGAAGATAAGTATTTGAAGATATTCTTATATAAAGATAAATATTTAAAGATAAATGGCACCTTCATGCATGTATGGCTTGGTGGTTGCAGAGTTATTTTAATTTTCATTTTAGCGGGATCTTCATGAACAGCCGCCTACACGAATGCAGTTAATTCCATTCCATACATCTCAATGTGCACCAAAATCACAGCCTAGATCTGTTAAGTCACAGCCCCGCACGCGCATGTTCATCGCTTGTGAAGGTGAGCAAAGAACGCACCACAAGCAGCACGAACGCTGAAAATGGACACGACTAGAAGCGCTTTTCTGGAAGGGTCTAGAGATGTTTGGGTAAATTACTTAAGCGAGCATATGCATGCTACGAGGGTAGCGTGTTGGCGTCTGTCTAAGCCACTTTTCTACAGAAATTCTAAAACAAGTGGCACGTTCTTTCAGGTAAGACGAGCGTGGAGGGCACGTGTATCCAAATTTCGAGCATTATATCCGTGGTGCTTGGGTAATTTGTCAAAAAATGTATTGTTTGACTTGTCGACCTTTCTTCGCCAGCGTAACTGCCAGCTTCTGATATAAGGAGAACGGATTTGCTAGCGATTTCATGAAACCAGCGAGCCGCGGGTTGAGCGTACCGAATTGCAAAAACGGTTTTATCAAAGTTTCAATAGACTTCTTCCAAAATCTAAGCGCACCACCGCGGCGAAATACCACGCAGTGCACTCTGGGAACTAGTTGGCCACTCAGTTTCGGTTTCGATTTAGCAGCTTCATTTCATGCTACCACGCCGTGACTGAATGCGCTGCTTGCGTTTTCGATTATCTGGCTTTTCACGAATGTACAATACACTCATTCTCGAGCGATACAAAACGAAGACTGGGGCACTTTCCTTGGTTCCCGAAACACCGGATATTGTGCGTGGGTATGCAAACGTATTAAGACGTGGCTTAGTCACCTCACCCACAAGTGCATCTTTGAGCTCAATTTCAATAATCCCGTCTAGCACCAGTGAACTAAAGCTGAAACTTGGTCACCTTGAGCCTCACACGTATTTTGTTTCCAAACGTCCGCTTCTTGTTACTTCACTGGGCGAAAAGCAAGCCGCATCCTCACAGGAGTATCAAAGTTAAGGCCAGCGTTGACGCGTGAACTGTTAAGGAAACGCAATACATTCTACCTCACTACTGCACAAAAGTTACTATGATGTCTCACTCGTTTCATCATATATCTCCCACTCAAATTTTATAGTGATAGGAGATTAAGTTTTCGGAAACGCTGAGATCGGTTAGCTATACAATGGAGGCTCTAACAAGCGTCCCCTACCCCTCGCTAAGCCTTTTTGGACGAGCTTTTACTGACGCCCAAGATCTGTGTTTGAACGGTGTGTCTGAAATTATATCGGCATACTCAGTCAGGAAGAAAGCAAACACATGAGCTTTGAATAATTTCGTTCGTTTGGCGCACCGCATAGGGGTTCACGCTCGTCCGACGCACTTCCGACGAACGGTACGACATTTTTCACGGAAGTGCTCGACTTTTGCTTTCTTAAAATGGTTTGTATGCGCGAATATGCCTTTATGATTGCAGGATAACTTTATGCGCATACGCGATGTTGAATATTAGTGGAATGCAAGCGGGTGGGGACTTCGCTTCGTGCAGTGCTGCGGATCAGTATACAGATAAGAGATAAGAAGTGTGTTCCAATTAAGCTTTTCAATGGCGCTTCCTAGTTTTACCTCGCGTACTCAGGCGTATTAAGAAAAACAGTAATTGCAAAAATTTATATATCGTCCATGGACGCACAAAACAAACTTCCTGACCAGCAACAGTAATGTGAAGGTGCGAGCTCGATGTATGCATACTTATTGGCTGTAACAGCTTGTTGACTCGTACACAAGCAAGATCCCCGAGCGAATTCGCAGATTCGAGATTCCCAGCACTGGCTCGTTCACATACCTCGAAACGCTAACAGAAAGGCTCGAGTACAAAAATACAACAAGCATGTGTTAAGACAAGCTATACGTCTCGGGCTTGTGCTATAACTTCAAGGTCTGGCCATTTAGGTTAGTTTAAAAACCAAAAATGACGCCCTCGGGACCAGAAAACATGCCAGGCTCTGTGTATAATCTCTTGTCGACGTATTGATCAAAACCGAAACCATGCCGCTCTCCTCCCTGGCCAACTAGTTCCGAAAGTGCAACGCGCGCCCTGTTGCATGCAGGGGTTTATGGAAGTAGTCTATTGCTTCCGTTCTTTTACATTCCCATAGTTCAGCACGTACGCCAAGGTCCTATTTTGTGCAAATAGAGATTATGATCAACCTCAGATAGCACGAATGCCCAGTTTTTCTCGCTGTTAAAGGGATACTTCGACGAAATTTGAAATATACCCGTCGTGTTCAGAAGTAGGCTGAATGTGATCCACAATATCAGTAAATAACAATCGCACGTTTGTGTTTTGAGCCTGATGGCCGTATTTTTCGTTATAAACGGCCCACTCTGGCAAGCGCTCGGAGAGCAGCCAGCGAAGAGCACGTCACATCCGGCGCAATCGTGACGTAGTCTATCTCAGGATGAGCAAAGCTGCGGCGAGGCTGACGTCGCCAGGATGCCCTAGCCGTTCTAGCCATCGAAGCGGTCGAAGCACGCCAACGATCGGGTCACCGCAGCCAACCGCAAAGCTGCTTTTGTGCGAATTTGCAGTGACGGGTTAATCTTGTATAATCTTGTAGAGTGAGAATAGCCACTTCTGGGGCACACACAAGAGAGTCCCGTTGAGTGGGGAGTTCCTCCCTTCCCTCTTTTCTTGAGCTGGCCGAAGAGCTGTCGAGATCACGTCAAGTTCAAAGCATGTACAAGAGGCGAGACAAGCGCACATGAAGGCTCCCTAGGCGAGACACTTATCGTCACTACCTGTCAAGGTTCCTAGACGGGCATTACAAACGAGGCTTTAGTGACATCCATCAGGTCCTCTTTTCTAATCATGTCGTATTACACCTGAGACTGCGGTGGAAGAAATCGGAAGAACTTTCAGTAGAAGGAACAGACACAGAGAACGTCTCTGTGTCTGTTCCTTCTGTCCCATTGTTAAGTCCTCGTCTCATGTGTGGGTTGTTTTGTATCTTTTGCACTTGTTCCATCCGGTTCGAGATGTCTGCAACAAAGGAGTTTATCTGTAGAGTGTGGTTGGGAAAAAGTTCCGTGGGTACTTAAAGGCTGATTGAGAAATAAACCAGTTAGCTGTGTTTGAGACGTTCTCTGTGTCTGTTCCTTCTACTGAAAGTTCTTCCGATTTCTTCCACCGCAGTCTCAGGTGTAATACGACATGATTAGCTACCACCAGCTCGCCTGCACACTCACCGTCTTTTCGCTCTTTTCTAATCGTCTAATTTGTTTCAAAATTCCTTTTCGTGTCTTTTTTAACAAGATATTGGTGTTTCCGATGTGATACTGCTCCTTTGAACACGTATAGACCAAACAATTAATGCCGAAATTTCGTTGTAGTATCATTTTAAGGCCGAACCACATAGGGGCGTATTTTCGACGTATTTACGGGCGTCTTGGCGGACGTAATCCGGACGTAGCGGGCGTTCTGGACAAGCCCTTCCTCGATGACGCGCGTATTCGGCGACCCGACCGAGACAGATCTCGGCGCTGTGGCTTATTTCGGCGTGGCGTATCCGAAAGTGTACAACGCGGTGCCGGCCAGTCAGCTCGCGAGTAGCGAGAAGTTGTTCGAGGATTGGCTTGACCAGCTTTGCGGCCGGCTGGATGGCTTGACTCCGCCGCCGAAATGGGCACTCGCTTGTCGCGGTCGCCGGTTTATCGGCGAAGTGTACGAGATCACCATGGCCGTGTTCCAAAATTTACTCGACGTTACTCTGAGGTAAGCGTTTTGTACCTTGGCGTGCCAAAACCTACCCGCGTCTAGCGCTTTTCAATCTGTGTTGTCACGTGACATGACCCGCCGGAGTAACTCGGATCCATTTGGGTAAACTTTGGAACACAGCCTGTATCTCTTTCGAACGAGCGATGAACGTCTGGAAGAGGAGAAAAGGTATGAAAAAAAAATTATAAAAAGAACGGCTTTGAGCAAAGATCGCTGTGTCCTTCTGCCGGGACTTGTTATACTCTATTTCACGATAACTTGGCGAACTGTGCAGGCTGCGGAACCCCCCGACCAAACAAGAATGTCGGAGCAAGGCACGTGACAACACCCCATGGTTGAGGACACAGAGATATCTCGCTACTTCCACAGCAAAAGCGCCGTCCGCGACAAAAAAGTAGTTCTAGGCTTCTTTTCTTTCAGTAGTGTTACGGTCAGGCTCTCCTGACCGCAACACAGTACTGAAGAAAGACAAGGCCATGTTACTTTTCGACGATACTTAATACGAAGCAACACTTTTTCGAGAACAGCGTGGCTTTTGATTGATGATTGAACGGTCGCAACCGTGTAATCGACCGCTTCCGCTGAATATATCGCCCTGGCATTAGAACTCGCCACAGATTCAAGGGTAGATTGAGCGCATTTTCGTCTCATGAACTGTTCCCGAAGAGCTCGCAGTGTCGAGGCGGTGAACGTCACAATCCGAAGTGCGTTGGTTTCGCAGCAGACGACTCTTGGCCAGCAGACGACAGCCGGTTACTCAGAGTCTCGCACTTGGCGTATAGTGACACGAACGCTCCCGTGATGTAGTGTCACGCGCCTCGCTTCGACGTCCTTATTGGGACGTGGGGGCCGTAGCCTCCACTATTCGACAAGTTAACGTAAAACGGAGTTTAGCAACTTGGCGATTGCACGATACAAACGGAAAATAGCAAATTAGGCTTTCGTTGCTGATTAACATTTAGTTATTTCTGTCCCCCTGCGGAAGGCGATAATATAGCTGCCGATTTACATTTTGCCTTGTTTCATGAAAAGCGCGAGTCTGGCCACACTGCACCAGACGCCGAGCAGACGCCGACAAAAACCGTCGTGTGTGGTTTGACGACCTTCCACTCTTCCCTTCGGGGAAAAAAAAAAAGGAAACGCCCTCCAAATGCCGTGATTACGCCCCCTGAAACGCGCGTAAATTTGTCGAGAATAGGCCCTGCTTTTTGGGTCGGTCTTTAGACGCGAGAAAGTCGGGCGCGAGCGTACCCGGTTGCCGGCCGTGCGCCTCGCTGCCTGCCGGTGACGTCACATCTGGGTGGCAGGGAAAACTGGGGAAACTCTAGGGAGAACAATGTTTCCATTTCGGCAGCGAAAACATATCACTTTTTTTTATTTAACTAGGGTAAATCTGGGGGAACGAGATAGCATTTCGGACTCAGGAAGTCATTCGCATTCAGATGATGGCTTTCGAGTTGGTTGCTCAGAAAATCAGCGGGGTTCCCGTTCAAGGCTAAGTAACTTTCTACCAGCGGAACGCTCAGCCAACACTGCCTTCGTTAGCATTTAAAGGGGCGGTGCAACGATATTCAACTGGAATGTTTTTCACTTTACACGAGCTTACTGGCACTAGTGGGACTCAAGGATACTCGTGCGCAACGCCACTGGCCAAGAAACTCCTTTGTTGCACTGTAATTTCGAGGACAAAACCAAGCGTTTTCATTCAATCTCTCCTTCGCAAAACCTGATGACGTAGCTGGGCGGTAGCAGTACCGCCCAGTGACGATATTTGAATGCGGCTCATAGATTGTACCCGAGCATTGCGTCGGCACTCGATTTGGGCTCGTGATAATCTATAGCTCGAGAAGCATTCGGGTAGTGTCTTGTGTCCAATCGCTGCAATGACGACAACAGCCGAACCATAACAATATCTGGAACGCAGCGCGTGTCCTGTGCCTTGCCAACCCTGCAGCGCATGGCTATGATCAACATTGGCGGCATATAATCGGCTCCAGATCACGTGGCCGCTTGTTCTGGCTGCGAGTTGAGGGGGTGAACGCAGCTCGTTTTTCTTTATTTTTTTCTGCGACTTGCGATTGCGTCTGGTGAAAAACGAATGGGTATTTCACAGGTCATGAAAGTCAGGGACCCGCTCTAAGCGGTATTTCCGCAAAATACAAAACTCGTTGCATTGCCCCTTTAAGTGTCTCTTACTGGCGACAGAGGGATATGTTTGTGGCCAGGCGTATACGACTGAATATTGTTGGGGTTTCCCAAAGACCTATTATCTTTATTTCGACAAGCAGGGTTGTTTGTCCGTTCGTCTCGTAGGGCTGAACAGAACACGAAGATAGATTAAAGTAGATAACTCGAATAGAAACCTCCAGAAGCAGAGCAGCCGATGTGGTAATAAGAGACTTAGAATTCTTCAAGGCTTGGTCGTATAATGTCACGCTCGGGGACGGACTTACCAATAGGCAGAGTAGGCAGTTGTCCAGGGCGGCAAAAATTTGAGGGTGGCCAGTTTGTGGCGGCATTCTTAAAAGCACTGCACTGTTAAAAGCTGCTGCAGGGCGGCAAAATGCTAAGTTCGCCTCTGGTACTCATGGTTACGTACCTTCCTTTCCCCCGACCGTCTCCAGGGCTGTACCCGATGGAGTCGATGAGTCTGCCGCCAGATCACGACCGGCCTACCGGACTTCCGGATATAGCCTGGAATCCTTGGACGGACCTTAGGAAACGCCACGATGTGGCGTTGCTCAACGTCAGCTTTCCATACGGACCGATGCCCTTCGAGTTCCAGGTGACTAGCCCCGTTGATAAGCGTTTAAACGCCGACGTACAAGGAGCGGCAGTAAGGACCAGCACATTCGGCACGTCATGCAAAATTCGAATTCTAAGTGTATGTGCTTGACATTGGATACGCAAATATAGTTTCGAAAAACGTTTTATGACTATTTTTTAGACCAAAGCTCAGATGTGTTGAACTATTAAAAATAAAGCAAAAATGGTGGCCGTGCATTTCCTATGTCCTATACCGAATGTTCGTCGTCTGCCCCTGGTTTGCGAGCTTGCTCTCAGGTGGTCATTCCGTTCAGATATTTCGTTAAAAGTATCTCTTATCACGATTATCCTGCTCGTAGCCAGCCTCTACTCCAGCTTTCTCAACGTTTTGGCGGTCAGCAATCCACCTGGGAGCGAGCTCGCAAACCAGTGTGCAGACGACAAACACTAGTGTAAACCAAACTTGGTGCGCACCTTTTCCACGAGGGTGCCGCCATCTTCAATGTCGTCACTTCCAGTATGGGCGAAAACATTAGGTTCGTTCGATTTACCTACACCTCCTGCACCGGTGCAGAAAAGTGTAGGGCGGTGTACTTCCGGTCATATATCAATATACATACCGGAAGTACACTGTCCTACACTTTTCTCCACCGGTGAAAGAGGTGCAGGTAAATTGAAAGTGCTTACTGTTTTGCCGTCGCCAAGCCAATAGGAGACATAATCGTAACCGTCACGCATTCTCGTTTTGTCTTACCTGTATTATTTTACTATTTGCAGGCTGAAGGGTTTTGTTATTTTGTCGTCGCCCAAATCGGATACGTCTACCAGGTGGCTGGGGACGAGAGTAAACGAAAAAGGTCTATATACCGTTTTATGCAAAAATACTCCAAAAGCTGGGAGACGTCATAATTAAAACAAGAACACCGACTTGACATAACAGAAAAAACAACTTCATTAGACGTTTCGCCTCCCATGCGGGAGGCATCATCAGTAGTTACACAGCAAATGCAGGGTTCAACCTAGTGCCACTAAATAAGCTACGCTTCAGAGTAACGACACTTGGCCATATTGTGTCTTAAAATCATGGTTGTCAGTTATCTGAAGCTTTATCTGAAATCACAGGAAACGTTTTTCCGCCCTCCACAAATGTTTAAACAGTTCGCGACAGAGCAAACCAATATTACAAGAGCTTCCTAACGCCGAATTTAATGCTAAGGAAGTCGCACTTTTGAATCGTGACGATCAGCCGTTGCGTCTGCTCTGCATACGAGCCAAAATGGCGGCGCCCACAACAATGTCGGGGAACGGAGTGCCGATACTCTAAGCGGAGCTTATTTAGTCAACCTAAACTCAACGCTATTTATCACGAATGTCCGTGTAAGCTTCGTGGAGAGGGCCGCGGTTTTTGTTGCACACGGATGTGTCCCTGCGAAGAAACCACGATTCTAGAAGCTTTCGGGGCCCCCATCTGTCCTCTCTCGCCAAGGTCGTCGCGGCCGGAAAGTCGAAAGAATGCCCCATTGTCTATAATGCAATTAAATGCAAAGGTGCAAGCGAGCTGGACAAGAATGACGAAAATAATCCCTGGAGAAGGGGAATAAGAGGGACAATGGACAAACAGAAATCTCCAAACACAGCTAGGTGACCGGTGCGCGACCGATGTTTGTCCATTGTCCCTCTTATTCCCCTTCTCCAGGGATTATTTTCGTCATTCTTGTCCAGCTCGCTTGCACCTTTGCATTTAATTGCATTATAATCAATACCTTAAATTGCAAGCTTCACCCCTGTTGGTGTTAGACTGGTGGCGGCTGATAAAACCCGTTTGCTCTGCTGATGTCTAACCCCTGGTTAGCTCAATTGGTAGAGCGCTCCACCTGTAATGGAGAGGTCCCGGGTTCGATACCCGGACCAGGCGGATTTTTTCGGTCGCGCACCGGTCACCTAGCTGTGTTTGGAGATTTCTGTTTGTCCATTGTCCCTCTTATTCCCCTTCTCCAGGGATTATTTTCGCCCCATTGTCCACGCATGGTCCACCAGTTCAGTCTTCAGTCGCGTCGCGTGGGATGCGTACGTGACGTCACGCTTGTGTTCTTTGAGTCTGGTATCTCTCCTCCGTCCGGTTTCACCAATGTAGGACGCTTGGCAGTCACTGCAGGGGATCTTGTAGATAACGCCTCTTTGGACGTTCGCCGGGGTTGGATCCTTTGGTTTGGAAACGGAATTTCCAATAGTTCTGTGTGGCTTGAAAACAGTTCGGATGCCAAGGGGCCTCAAAGCGCGACTAAGAGGTTCGGAGACTCCTTTGACATAGGGGATGCACACTACATTCTTATCTCTTTCCCTTTCGCACGGTTCCACATTTTGTTTCATTTTGTTTTTGACCTCGTCAACAAAACGCCTCGGGTAGTGACGTTTCACCAAAGCTCTCTGTAAATGAGTCATCTCATTTGCGCCATGGAGCTCATTAGATGACACGGTATTTGATCTCTGTACAAACGATCGCACTACTGATTTCTTGTGTTGCACTGGGTGATGGGACAAAAAATCCAAAAAATTATCTGTTTCACATGGTTTGCGGTACACCCCCGTTTCAATCCTGTGGTTCGGCTCGCCTGTCCTTATTACAGATACATCTAGGAAGGGCAATTTGCCCTGCTGTTCTGCCTCGCAAGAAAACTGTATCGCGGGGTGAACAGTGTTCACCCTTCGTCCCTGTCGTGAAGCGCTATTATGTTCTCCAAGTTTCAGTACCAACTCGCCCAAGAATCCGCATTACTCAAAGGACCCAACCCCGGCGAACGTCCAAAGAGGCGTTATCTACAAGATCCCCTGCAGTGACTGCCCAGCGTCCTACACTGGTGAAACCGGAAGGAGGAGAGATACCAGACTCAAAGAACACAAGCGTGACGTCACGTACGCATCCCACGCGACGCGACTGAAGACTGAACTGGTGGACCATGCGTGGACAATGGGGCATTCTTTCGACTTTCCGGCCGCGACGACCTTGGCGAGAGAGGACAGATGGGGGCCCCCAAATCTCCTAGAATCGTGGTTTCTTCGCAGGGACACATCGTGTGCAACAAAAACCGCGGCCCTCTCCACGAAGCTTACACGGACATTCGTGATAAATAGCGTTGAGTTTAGGTTGAACCCTGCATTTGCTGTGTAACTACTGATGATGCCTCCCGCATGGGAGGCGAAACGTCTAATGAAGTTGTTTTTTTTGTTATGTCAAGTCGGTGTTCTTGTTTTAATTATACCGTTTTATCATGGGTAGCGCCATTTTGAGTACTGTAGCGCCATCTAGCGAGCGTCAGGTTATGCGGCCAAGCTGAATGGTTAGAAACGTTGGCGAAAGTGTTCTTCGGGACGCCGCTCCCGCGTTGGGTATGCTGGTTGGGTGCTCCAAAGTGCTGGGTATCCGACTCTTCTCTTCTTGTATGCCGCGGATGTCGGTTTTTTTTTTATCTTATTGGGAACGTTTCTTTTCGCGCATTATGTTATTCGCCAATGTGGCGATGCCCAGAAGAGGGGAACTGAATGCGCCACCGATAGAAATCGGTGGTGACTACTCAGAATATTGCATCAGTTGACAGCGATTGATTTTTTGTCCTTTTAGATGCAGTACACCGATCCTATGTTTGGCGTTTTGTATCGTCCACAACAGTGAAATTTCATGTTAATAAGGATGCCCAAAGTAAGAGCATTGCAGGCAACGATCGAAGGCTCCGGCTTGCAGATGTTTATAAACGTTTAAATTGAAGATCTCGTGTCGACGAGTGTGTCCTTTGTCTAGAACTGAAAGCTGCGAAGTCGAGATATGTATATTGCCGGAGCGAGTCGATCAATGGCTTTACGATTCGAAATCGATGCATGAGCGTATTTCAGCAATGAATATTGAAGTTTTCTTTCCACCGACGTTATGTACTAATTTGCAAGATAAAAACATCGCAGTCGCGTTGTGATGGTCAACATGAGTTCACGGCTTTCTGCTGTTGCACAGGAGATCACGATTAAGAAAAACCGATAGAACTAACTTTTCGATGATTTCCAGCTACAGCCACGCCCGGCGGCGAAAAATCTTCAACTGAGCGTTGTAGATAATAAAACTCGCATCAATGTCACCACTGCAAGATATCAGTATACTAAGATAAATTGAGTTTCGAAAGGTTATAAGCTAAAACAGCGATTTTCACCGGAAAACTTGCACCTACCTCGCGAATGCATACTCATGTTCATTGGCGGTACAGTGGTAAGTTCGGTACGCGTTCTATTCAAGAAACGTTCCGAGCACATTCGAGAGGATAGCGTCAATAAAAAAGTATTTTCTTTTTCCCGACGCTGGAAAAAGTAGGTATTTACCAACGCAACCCACTGCCGCCGAAGGTTTTGGTCATTAGGAAAGCGATGGTATTCAAAGACATTGCAGCCGCAGTTGCTTTGTTGGATCCCGTGCGCGATACAGATATCCTCTGATAACATTCTGCGCTTTCGATTGTTTTTTGCGCAGCCTGTTACCGAAAAATGGTGTCGCGATGACCAGGGGATTGCCGTCATTAAATGCGCTAGCGCTAATTAAATCTGGAAGTTAAAAATCGATAAAAGAGCGAAGAAAACAAGCGAACTTGGAGCAACACACGCGTTCAAGGCGTCCATCGGTGACTTCCGCTCGTTCCTAACTAACCAGCAAGGAGGAAAGCGCCGGTAGCCCTTTCCTTTTTCTCTCTTGCCCTCTTTCAGTAGAACGTCTACATGGGAAACGCACAGTCGCCGTGTTTGCTTTATTTTAAATATTTCAACACCTTCGAGTGAAACTGTAAAACAAAACAAAAAAATAAAGCTTTTTGGCAAACGAAGTTTGCGTGCCCTATTTCAGGTATGTCTTTAGAATGAAAATTATGCAAGGCGTGACCAATGTGTTAGTCTTTACGGCCGCACATTTTATACACGTTTGTAAGTACGGCCTCTGGGAGCCGGCCATCTGGTTTCCGGTGTGTGCAGATCGTCTGATAGTCGAACCTTGCCAATCTTCCTTGGTGCCCCAACAAAGCGCTTCCACCCACGTTGGCCAGACTAGATTGTGCGTTTCTTTCTGGTTTTTCCCTCCCTCAAATCATTTGCATACTGGGGCCCATTTCCCTCAATAATTCAATGCATCCCCTTCGAATTCGGAGAGCGCGCATGTATGTCATGGACGAACATGTCCTTCAGAGCGATTGGGCATTCTTGTTTGCAGAAGGATATCCGCAGGCACTACTACGCCGCCGTTTCGTACCTGGACTCCCAGGTGAGTAGCCTCCTCGACGTCCTCAATGAGACTGGGCTGCGGAGGAACACATGGGTCGTCTTCATCGGAGACCACGGTAATCGTCGACATGTTTTGACCTTTATCGTTTCCTCTCAAAATAAAAAAAAAGAACTAAACAACATAAGGCACGCAACAAGTACTTTTTTTTCTCCATATACTTGTAAACTAAGGCATAAAAGTCACAGTCCACTGCTTTGGGATTAAAAAAACAAGCTCTATCTTGCAAGTATAGCACTATCAAAATCAAGGGCGGGAAAACGTGGCTTATAAAAATGTATGTATGCACATGTGGTCGCGAAAAATAACCACTCGAAAACTACACTCGCTGGATTCCAACTTCACACGGCGCTCCAAAAACACACCAGGAAACACTTTTTATTCCTATATTGGTGTACATGACCTCCCTACTGAAAAAAACCATTTGAAATTCAAACGGGTGGCAAACTGGTAAATCAAATGGTTGCAAACTTGTCGACCCGTTTGGATCAAACGGGATTATGGGATACGGGTAGCCGTTTGAAACGGTACCCGCTCGAAACGGTACCCGTTTGATACAGGTGCCCGTTTGATATGGGTGCCCCTTTGATACAGGTGCCCGTTCGACCTTGCACGTGACCACAAGTTTGAACGTGCCATTCGAATCGGGAAATTATGCGCTAGCCTTAAACGGGGGTCGTCTGGTAGGTTGGTTATCTTAAACTTATTTAAGACGTTCCGAAACTCATAAAACTATTTATAACATGGAGGAAACACGTAGAACAAATGTACTCACGTAGGTGCTTGCAAATGGACAGGAAAACAGACACAAAAGATTGTTTTCAATTCTCCTCAAAGTTTATTACGTCTTCTGTAGACAAGTACAAACGTGCAAGCGATCTGTGAAATGTGAGAGGCACTCTAAGCTTTTATACAACTGAGAAGATAGCAAACCAAACAAGAACCGAGGTAATTCTAGACTATGAAGGTAGACATTCGGGAAATTATTCGCTCGGCTGCCGCGAGAATAGTGGCTGCATAATTATATAGATAATCTGGAAGAGTACGAATAGAAGAACGGTCAATCGTTGCCATGAAGTAGGTTGCAGTGCACTTACCATAAAAGTAGCGGACTTGAAAGATGTAATCCGTGTTATTTGTCGACACGGTCAAAGCAGGACAACCACACAAACACAAATGAGAGGGAACGGCTTCTTGGAAGTTTCAACACGATGTGGCGCACAAGCTGTCAGTTGCCGAACCCAACCAAACCGCAAGAATTCCTGACTTCTTTGAAGAATTGCTTGTTGCCGATATAGACGTAGGACTTTTCGAACACTCCCAGGTGAAAATTTCTAACTGGGATCCAACTGGTCCCAGTTCAACTGGTTAAAGGGACAATTTCCAGTTGCAACTGGTCCCAGTTACAACTGAGACCAGTTGCAACTGGGACCAGTTGGGTCCCAGTTGCAACTGGTCCCAGTTAGACTGGGACCAGTTGGATCCCAGTTGCAGCTGGTCGCACTAGGCGCTAGCTCATGCTTCTGGGTCTAGGACTCAAGTAATGAAACGCTCTATACGCAATCTTTTTTTGTTTATTCAAATGGCCTCAACCAAAGGCTGTGGTGTCTATTCTTGCGAAGCCTGTAGTCGCCTCTCCGCTTTGATAGAATCTTGAATTTTTTCAGTTAAAATGTTGGTCAGGTTTGCCACTGCCGGAGATGCATCCACATCCTTCTTTATGGCCCAGTGGGATAAGGTAGCTGCAAATGAAATCATAAAATGTTATAGACTTCATAACATTTTGTTCATTTAGTAAACTCACCTATGACAACACCAATCTTTTCTGGAGTTAGAGCAGGCTTCGGCTCTTCACCAGAGTTCTTCTTCTTTGGTGCGAGCACCCCGGACACACTGCGTGCCGCCAGCCCGGCTTGTGTCCAGATGCACTGGGCTGTTTCCTTCACCACCAGTGTCGGTTTTTTTAATTTCATCACTCGCGCCGCCTGGACTGCTGTCAGCGTGATGCCTTTTTGGAGGTGAAGCTGCAAACAGATTGCACAACAGCATGATCTATGTCACAGGTATCTCGTTATTTGCATATCTGAGCAACACAAAATGGAAAAGTAGTAATTTTACAGCAAAAGCTACGCCTCTCGACCACTTGCAAAATTCCCAATAACCAAGGAGCATGCTGAAAGTGCAGTGACATATGCTCTCCTTGTCTGCGGAAAAGATTCAAAGTAACCAACTGCAATAAGGCAACAGCAAAAGATCATGCAAATTGTTATTTGCTGTAAAAGTTACTGCTGCATACAGCAACACATACGGCCTAAGCTTATTATAACAGAGCTTGATAGTGACAAAGACTTCAGTCGTGTAAAAGGGGCTTGCAGTATGCGGATACGAAGTTTAGTCAATATAGTGCAGATGGGAAAACAAAGGAAACTTTATCAATTGGTATGCTACATCCAAACAGGGGCGTAGCCAGAAGGGGGGGGGGGGGCTTATGGGCCTTCAACCCCCCCCCCCCCCCCCCTCCCCCGCATTGGTGTATTCTGTGGCGGCCCACTAAAAGGAAGGTAAGAAGACTGACTCAAGAATTAGGGAAGACTCTGACTCGAACTTCTACGAGGAAGAAGTGCACTTCACCGGCCGCTCTGCTCGGCCGTGGGGGCTTCTTCGTGCGGCTTGCGTTGCGCGGCGGCGCGATTTTGCGGCGCGACACTGGGGCAACCACCCTTCTCCTATCTTTACCTTTCACTCCCCCTCCCCTACCCCAAAACAAAGGTGACATATTGAGCTTCCGGCTCAGCAACACTTCCTTTGATTTCCTTCTCCCAAGACTCTGACTGACTGACCCTCCCCCCCCTCCCCGCCCCCAACCGACCCTATACTATACACATGCATTTTTACCCCCCCCCCCTCTTCCCAATGCATGGACATCCCAGCCACCTCAGCCCCCGCCACTGCATCCAAAGATATGTTGTCACCAGGACTACTGCAGACAGCAACATATGCAGCACATTCATGAAACTACAAACCCAGCATGCTCCCTCTGCTCGGGAATTTAGCAAATCCCAAGCATGAAGATTTTACGAGCCCACAAAAAAGAGAGTCGTGGGCTCGCAAGATATTAAGCTCAAAACTCTATTTTCGTGAGCTCGATATTTTATGAGGTACAAGCCTCGCGAATATTTTGCAGGCACAAAATTTCACAATCGATCAAGACTTATCTGCATAACCAATCTTTACAAAATTGCAAACATTAAGTCCTTGTGACAATTAAATTGATTGTATGCCCTTTCTGAGTAGCCTAGTGCCCTTTCTCATGTTTTTTTGATGGAAGGACTGTAATAAGCTTTACCCACACTATTTTTTGTACACTGAGTTTCAGTTGTGGTATAACTTGCAGAAAAAAATAGGTATGATCCTAGACCCACTCCTTATGGCTAATGAAAAAACAAAAAGACTCACATATTAACACAGGAAATTGATTGCATTATAAAGAACATGAAATATTCACTGACCAAAGAAATAAGTAATCTATAACCAATCACGTTTTGCTACCTGAACAAAATGTGAGACTAGGTTATCTTTCAACTTTACATCTAATAACTGACGGATATGCAAGATATTTTTCCTGTTTCCTTCTCTGTCGCAAACCTTTCTAGATGCACCTTACAAAACTAGAAAGGTACTTACTGAACCATCAGGCATATAAGAAAATTCCTCCAGGCATCCACCAGGTGATGCTGAAATTAGAGCTCAGTCAAACATTTGGGTTGTTCAGCTAACATGATTAGCAGCTGTTCCTGAAGCCATGCATATGCAAGCAGGAACACATGAGCTCATGCCAGGTTATTAAAATTTCATAGCAAGGCAATGTTCCTAAAGTATCAAGAAGTAACTCACCTGCCGCAGGAACCCTGACGTGAGGCACCTGTGCAGCCAGCCCTGAGAGCGATGCAGAGAGTAAATGCAGGATAGGGTTCCATATAGAAAAGCTAGATATGCACACAGCCAACTCACCTGCCATAGCATTGCTTGACCGGGGAATGTGCGGAACGACTCCTTGGTTGGCTGTAAATATACGCAGTGCATTTAGGTTAGTTTGTTTCAGATGTAAAAGGCTGCATGATTGTCAACTCACATTTCATTTCCTGGGGATGAGGTCCAAGCAGCCCTGGGCGTGCTATAAATACAAAAAATAACAAATTTGACTTCCACAAAGACCCATACATTCAACTAACTTACGTCCTGCTGTGGGTGCTGCCCTGGATGTAGAAGCTTGGCACTGTTTCACGGCTTGACAGGGTTCAGCGAGCCCCTCAGTCTCTGGTGCTGTATTAAACGAAACAGCATCAACAATGTGAGCCAGTTGAAGTGATTGTTTCCCAACCCTGGAATCCCCATCACATAGTAGATCAGCATTAAATTTCTTGGAAACCTTACGAACGACCTCCATCGAAGTACAAGATTAGTTAATTTAAACACAATGTAGGTGGGCATGACTTTGAATGAGGCGGCAGACTCTTTAGCAAGAGCCCGAGTGCTTTGCAAGCTTGATCACTGCGCATTACAGCAGCGCTTCACCGCTTTGCACCAGTGTAGTAGAAGCAGCAGCTGATACGTGAAAGCAGATAGGTTAGCTTACAGGCTCGGAACATTTTGAGACTGAGATAGGTCAGGTAGCTCTCTAAAGCCATCAAAGCCAGTGTCACATCTCTAGAACATCAAGCAGTGTTATCGGTCGTTAGGTTTTCCAGGATGATAGGTTTTCTCTCCCCCGGTCTTGTAAGCATTTGTAAACAATGCAACTAATCTGACTAATCAAATACCCCTAAACTATAAACAAAATATCTGTACATACCCAGACTACCATGGTCCCCGGCTGGATCTTGGCTTCTACTCTGGAGCTCGTCCACTGTTTAAATAAGTGTCATTCATTTAATGATCATCATAAGAATTGATCATGTTTCTATTGCATAGAATAGGTGCAGAGCAACCACGTTACCCGGGAGTGTCCCCCAAAACAAAATCCTGGCTATATGCCTGGTGCAGACACTACAGATTGTA